TTGTCTTAAGTGTTCCAAATTTGTCCTAGAATTATGAATTCCATGCGGTCAAGCTGGATTAATTCTCTTGTTGAAGAATGTGAGCATGTTCTTCTAATTTCTAATCCTCCTGTAGATCTAGGCTTAAAACTTGCTTTTGCATGTGGAGGATTATTATTAGCAAGAGAGTCTTAATTACGTCTAAGCAAAAGGACAGGTTGGATTCTAAACCTAATTCTGATTTGATTTCATGTTGAATTGTTGGTTATGTGTATTATATTTTTACAGTGATGGTGTTGTTTACCTGTGGTATAGATACAGTATATGATGGAACTCAAAGGGAAACATTCACTGATTTATGGGCTAAATATATTTATCTATTTTAACAAATTAATCAGGACTGCATCAAGATACTTGTTGGAAAACAAAGTTGACCAATGTTGTTTGTTTCTGTTTTTTCATTTTGCTCCAATTAGCAATTCAATCTCAAGTTCATCTGAAACTTTCTCATGGGCCTATTTGATGTTATGAAAAATGATTCTTGAGTGTTATTTTATAGACGGAATTTAATGATACCACTCACATTGGTAATCTTAACAAGAAAGTGAAAGGCTTATGTCCAGAAAGCACTGTATTTGACTTTGGTTGGGAATGTGGATGCCTTTTTATAGAGTGCAGTACAAAAACTGGAGTAAATGTAGAAAAATGCTTTCTAACGAGCTTGTCTTAAAAGGTACTAAAATCCTGGTACTTTATTCCATATTTGATGGCCTCATGTTTATTAGATACTCCAAGTTTATATGTTGTTTGGAGGCAAAAGAAGTATGGAATCATATTTGACATTTGCAACTGTTGCTGTTGGGTCTTCAAATTTAATATAATCTTTGTTTTTCTTTTGTTGTGTTTGTGTTTTGTGTCTAAATATGTCAAATTCTAAGCGGAAAACTGGAAATGTTTGTTTCTTTATTATCTGTGCAATTTTTTTCTTTGAAATTGTGTGCAAAAAATGCCATAAATTAATTTCCTTTGGTATTTGTTTTGCTACACCTGCATCTTTGCTTTTCTTGTAATGTGTATTCCAGTTTCAACTTTGTCTTTGAAACTATGTGCACAAAGGACTTGAAATTAATTGGGATCTATCTAAGTTCCTTTGCTATTTATCTTACTGCCCTTGCATCTTTGCTTTTCGTGTGATAAGCATTTTAATTGTCACTTTTATCAACTATATCTGCCCCACTTGTTATTTTATATTCTCAGAATCACTGAAGATGGACTAGCATTGGAGTCAGATTATACTCCTCTTTTTATCTTTTCCCTTTCTCTTATGTTTTCATTTAAGATTGATGTAGATTTCTTCAAACTTTATCACATTTTCCTTTTGTTGAAGAATGTGAGCATGTTCTAATTTCTAATCCTTCTGCCGATCTAGCCTTAAAATTTTCTTTTGCATATGGAGGATT